AAATCAATCTTAGCCTGGGAGCGTAAGTCTTGAGAAAAACATTTATCATATATAATAGTACCAGAATGAATCGCCCATTTAGCCCATCTATCCGTTTGTTCGTTCCCAGGAATGCCAGAGTGTCCAGGAACCCAAACAAGAACAATTTGTATGCCAAGGTTAGAGCAATTGTAAAGGAGCTCTTTTGTTTTAAGATTGATTGGGTGAACATCTTTGCTACAAAACGTGAATTTTAACAGATCGTCCTGGCAGCTACGAGAGTCTGTAAAAATTACAGATTTGTCTAATTTGTGGGATTCAACATATGAAACTGCCTCAAAAACAGCGATCACCTCACCCGAATATACGGACGCTTTAGAGGGAGATTTAAAAGTTAAGGAGATATTAAATGTAGGGATCCAGACGGCAGAGCCAACAAAATCATCTGTGGTGGATTTGGAAGCATCTGTATAAATATTGAGCCAACCGTTCCATTTCTCATTAACTATTTTATTAAAAAGTATTCCAGCGTTAGGGTCATCTTTGACAATTCCAAAATTGGTAACAATGTTGGGTTTAAAAATTAGTGCATCAAAATCAATTAAAAACAATGGATTACCAGAGTATTGATTGTTAGGGGGGCCGATGAGAGATTTGTTAAAGCTTTTTAAAAGGCATGGAGGGCTCTTATGTTCCCAGTATTTAGAAGTTGTAACAAGGTTCGCTAGTTGAGTCAAGGGGGCAAGTAAGGGGTGGCCAGGATTTTGTAAGATTTTGAAAAAGAAACGGTCGCATAAATACTGACGACGGAAACATAACGAGGGATCTAAGCTCTCAACCTGCATGGCATTGATTGGAGATGATTTCATCGCTCCTAATATAACACGAAGACATCTAGCCTGTATATTATCCCAATAGTTAACAGCGGATTTGTTACAAGGTTCTAATAAAAATGAAGCGTAATCAAAATGACTTCTTATTACAGCATTGTAGATCAATTTTTGGGTATAAGGGTGGGCTCCCCACCATACTCCACACAGAGCTCTAATAATATTTATACGCTTTTCACATTTATTTTTAATATAATTTAGGTGAGGGATTCCAGTCATGTGGGAATCAAAAAAGAAGCCTAGAAACTTAACCTTGTCGTGTACAGGGATCAGTTCATCATTTAGGAAAATTTGTATATGTGGGACACGTCTTTTTCTTGTGAATACTACTATTGAGCTTTTACTGGGTGATAGAAGGCAGTGATTAGTGAGCCAATCTTGCAAGTATCTAATGGCAGTATTTAGTTGGATAGTGCATTCATCAAGAGAATCTGAGGAATAATAGAGTGCTAAATCGTCTGCATACTGTAGAATATCACAAAAGCAGTGAACAGATTTATCAAGGTTAGCAGTGTATAGACTATAAAGGATGGGGCTCAAGACAAAACCTTGTGGGAGTCCCTTCCATATCATTCTTGGAGAAGAGAACCATTGATACGTACTGAGATGGAGCGAGACATTAGCATGTTATAAATGATGTTAATCATTCTCACTGGTAGACCCAGCTGATGCATTTTTTGCCTGAGTAGCGGGAGATGAACATTGTCATAAGCGGCTGTCACGTCCAGGAAGACACCAACAAAGTACAATCCTCTGGTGAGTGCGAGTCTGATCTCAGTAGAAAAGGTACTGAAGCTGTCAAGAGTGCCCATACCCTTACGGAATCCGAACTGCGACCTGGACAGAAGTCCTTTGCTCTCCAATATCCACTCTAATCTGTTTTTGATGAGGTGTTCCAAAGTTTTGCATAATACTGATGACAGTGCAATGGGTCTATATGAGGCAGGATCCCTTGGATCTTTACCTGGTTTAAGAATAGGGATAACAACTTGAAGTTTCCAGGAGTGTGGAATATCACCATTTTCAAAGACTTTATTGATAATATTAAGTAGGACAGTTTTCGAAGAATTTGAGATGTTCTTAATAAAAGAGTATGGGATACCATCGATTCCAGGTGTAGAGTCTCTTAGGTGGTTCAAAACTGAAGACATTTCTACGGAGGAAAATGGTTGATCCATTCTATCATTAGAGTTGGGGGAAACAGTCCATAGATGGGACAGAAGCAGGGGCCAATCTATTAATAAAGTCATCGATCCAAGTTGAGGGCTCATTACAGGAGAAAGTATTGGATACACGAGAGCCTGAAAACTTTTTAAAATTTTTCCAAACTAAAGAAGATTTTACACGACGAGGAGAGAGATTCTCGCAAAACTGAGACCAGCCAAGGCGCTTTTTTTTGAGAACAGCTTTTTGGATTTAGCATTGAGCTTCTGGAAGGACAAAAAGTTTTCAATAGTAGGATTATCCAAAAAAAGTTCTTCAGCTCCATTGCGTTCTAGAATAGTTTCTGTACAGTCGGAGTCCCATCATGGGGGGAGGAGATGGTGTCTTTCTTAGATTTTTTAAGAGGGATAGAGAGATCAGCAGCAGAAAGCAGAATGTTAATGAAATCCTCATGGATTACAAGGAAATTCTCATTTGTAATTAGTGGGAGTAACTTAGTTTTAACTTTGGATTTTGGGCGGGAGAAGTTCTTCTCGTAGGGGAACAATCGTTTATAACACAGAGATTGTTATTATCAAGCATACCAATAAGAAAGGTGGCAGGAGATGAACAATGGTTAGAGCCCCACATTGTGTGATGACAATTAAAATCACCAAGCTCAACAAGAGGGGATGGGAGAGAAGCAAGGATGAAGTCTAGTTCAGTGAAGATAGATCAATCAGGATGGGGGATGTATACTGAAACAAATGTTATGTTTAAAGCTCTAGCTGCTACGACATTAAAATTCGGGGAGTGAGAAGAAAGGAGTAATAAAGAATAAACAGTGGGTATTTTAATAATTAGAGCACAGCCATCATATCCATTGTTGTTATCATCCCTGAGACATGAGAAACCAGGAATCCTAAAACGCGAAGATGGCTTTAGCCATGTTTCCGAGATAGCCAGGATGGTGGGCTTATAGTTATTTATTAAATCAATTATTTCATGTTTTTTATGACGTATTGACTTACAGTTCCATTGTAGGATTGGGGTCATTATTAATATGGATTAAAGAGTTTAATTTATTCAGTGATTGAATGACATTGTACGGTAGGGAATCATCAAATTTAGAAATAATATTGATAAGTGTGTTGATAAGTAATTCAATAAAATTTTCGTTTCTGGAGGTATTGTTTGATAAGTCTGAATTAATAGCACAGCCATTAGGTTGTGTGGACTGCGGAGTCATAATAAGGTCATTGTGGCTTACTTTATCGAAACCAGATTTTGGGGAAACCCAGAGTCGGCGTTCAAAATAAACAGTTTTTCTTTGGGAGGAGCTTGGGGAAAGAGGGGTGGAAATTATGAGGTTGAGAGGTTGTAGGAGAACATTGGGTTGCTGCAGGAGGTTGAGTTATCATAGGGCGAGCGCTGTCAGCAAAAGATTTACGTACAGTCCGGAATCTAAGGGAAGCCTCCGAGTATAGGATGTTTTCTGTTGACATAACAACCTTAATAGATTTCTGTCTGGCTTGTTCAGGCCAAGAGGGATCCGTGGCCATATGGGGGCCACAACAATATAAGCACGTTGGTTGGGAGGTACCGCAAGAATCTCCAGCATGTGGTTGGCTACATCTGAAACACCTGGGCTTTGAACGGCATTGGGCTTTCACATGACCAAAGCGGCAGCAATTGTTGACTGTATGGTTGCTAGAGTATAGATCTCTACCGGAAGGGATGTATGATAACATAGGACTCTTTCAGGTAGCTCTTTGCCAAGGAAAGAGACCATTACTGTTTGGGACCCCTCCCAATCCGTGTGTGCCAAATGGGATCCAATGTGGTTTGTTATCAATATATTCTTTCCTGTTTAGACGTCTGGCCTTAATGGCTTGGGAGCCATTAGTGCAATCAATTGACTTGACCAGTTCTTCCATAGTCCACTCTATCGGAATGTTTCTAACAATACCATTTCTTATCAAGAGAAATGTGGGGATAATTGCATTGTAAGAATTCGCGGTGAGGAGACAATTTTCAATAAATATGTTTGCGGATATTGCACTAACAAAAGTAACTACAACCCGATTGCGCCCTGTAGCTTTGATACCGTCTTTTGCAATCCCATGTATACCATTCTTACTTAGGAACTGGGCAAACGTCAATAATTTGATTGTAAGACCAGATGAGGGGTTGGACTCTTCTCTCGATACGTGAACTATAAATGGACCCTTATCAGATTCACTATATTTTAATTTCATACCGTCAGCAACTTCGGGTAAGCTGTAGGTTTGTTGGGCAGATGCATTTGGAGGAGCGTTTGAAGAACGTTTCGGAGGTTGTTCCGATGTAGTTTGGGAGGAAGATGCTTCATCACTGGCACGTTTTTTAGGCCTGGAATTGACATTTTGAGTGGGATAATGGTCGAAATCCATTTGAGAATCCGGATTCAAGAAACCGCCAGTAGAGAAGCCGCCTCCCCCATCAGGGGATAATTTACCTTCACAGACACAACAACAGCACCACCAAGTATACAAAAAAGGCAACCAATTTCACTCGGAAAGTACCAATTTAAATTTCGACACGTGTATACTGACAGGAGCCAGACACTCGACCTATGTTAATTCTTATGAATGAATAAAAAAAAACTACATGAATTTGATTTTTGCCTCACTTGTGACAGTTCGTTTGATATGAAACCTTAGAGGATGGAAAAAAATAAAAGTCTAAGTATGAAACTATCATTCTATGCGTTATTATTCTAAGGCTATAGCTGTCAAAACCGAACGCTCTACAGTGGTGACACCTGGAGGGAGCAATAGGCAGCATTATTTACCCTATTATGTCAATTTATTTACTTTCATTAGATTCTACTTTATTTGAAACTAAAATTTTATTTTATTTATTGCTGTTTTTTATTTGGTGTTTAGGCTACCACAGCTAAAATTCGGCTACATTAGGCTACTAAGGTTGTGGAAAAATGGCGACATTGGACCCAGCGTTACTGGCAACACTGTTTACGATTATAAAATAGACGTGCGCAAAACAGTACCTCGAAAAGTAATGTCATATCACATCACATTTCTGTAAAAGTAATATTACTCTGTGATATTACTATTACCCACAACGTCATACAGTGTAACACACACAACCTAAAAAAAAAAAAAAACACCGACTAATTAACAACCTCCTCCTTTTTTTGAAGTCGGTTAAAAAAGCGATGCGTTTTAAAACAACCTATAAAACGCGTTTCTAGAACATAAACTTGCATTATAAACAAGATCTACTTACATATTACTAGAGAGAATCAAACAAAAATTACGAAATATTACGAACCGTCTGGCAAGCTACACTCACCCTGGTTAAATTTTACATTATAAATTGCCACGTAATCAAGCAATGATTAACAAGTTATGCAATTTCATTTTAAATGTCTACTGTTTAATTCGTTTACACCATCTAGTAAGTTGTAAAATAACAAATGCACTCCAAAAATCAGACGTTAATTTATAAGTTGTTACATAACCTCACTTTTACTAAATCTCTTATAGCTCTGCTTTCAGTTCAATTCGCAGAATTTTCAGTGATGGTACATCAATACCTACGCAATTAACTGATACCACCTTCATGTTTTTACATCTTGGATTGATTGTATGAAAGCGTATCCATCTCCTTCTAGATTACCAAGAAAGATCGAAATATATTTAACCAAGCACAAGCACTGATTAACAAATTATGCAATTTCATTTTAAATTGTCTACGGTTCCATCCTTTTACACCATTTAGTAAATTATGAAATAATTGGGGTATTAATACAAACATCGTTCTACTGCAATATTCCAAATTAGATGCATTTACATTGCATTTCGCATAATAGTATTAAACAAACATCACTCCGTGATGTTCTAAGCATCACGCGTAATATAAGCATCACGTGTACTGTTTCAGGTAATATCACGCGGGTAATGTTTCGGGTAATGCATCACGCGCGTACTGTTTCCGAGCGATGCATCACGCGGGTAATGTGTAATGCTAACATTACGCGTGATGCTAACATTACGCGTGATGCTAACATT